TGGGGAGAGAGACACTGAGAGAAAGAGAGACTCAAAAGGAGGAGACAGACAAAGGAGGCTGCCATTTTTAGCTACTCTCCTTTTTTTTTTTTGAATGCTCTAAAAATTCATATTTGATGGCACCATCTTTATCACTACAGATTCAAGCCAGATCTTCCTCTAAACAAATGCAAGTTAAAATGTGGACCAATTTACCAAAAATGGCACACTGTACCAATGCAGTGAATCTTTTTCTGGCATCCATCCCTCCCATTTCCAGTATGTGTCTCCCATTACCACACACATGCATGTGAATACACACACACACACACACACACACACAAGCAATGAGCACAAGTCCTTGAGCTGCTGGGTCAGTCACCATTCTGAAAGAGAGAAAAGGAAGTAGGGCTTTGGAGCCAAGGGAAGGAGACTGGGAACTTCTTAGATAACATAATAGCCATGATTTCCTCACTATTCTTTCATGATCTCTACTTTGGGACACATGGGACTAGGGCCTGCTCTCTATGTGAACACAAAAACAAAGGATCATATAATTATTTGTTAAATTCAGAGCATTTAAATCTTAAATATTGATGGGCTATCTAAGCATTATTTTTACTCATTATACTACTAAGAGTACTTGAAGACACTTGGTGATCTTAACTTGACTAGGGAGCTCTATAACTCCCTTGTTCAGTAGTTTCAGTTATGTCACAGACTCTTTGTGACTCTTTATCACAATTTGGCAAAGATACTGGAGTAGTTTGCTATTTCATTCTCCAGCTCATTTTACAGATGAGGAAACTGAGGCAAACAGGCTTAAGTGACTTGTCCAAGGTCACACAAGTAGTATCTGAGGCCAGATTTGAACTTAGGTTTTCCTGAATCCAGGCCCAGCATTCTATCCACTGAGCCATCTAGCTACCCCTGCTTCCCCTTAAGTGTGCTTATACTCAAAGGGTTTCTACCCTCAGGGAAGTCCCAAGGAAGTTGTGTTATTGTTTAAACACCTAGAGCAGACAGATAGGTACAGAAAACTTAAAACAACAAAACAAAAAGGGCTTCACAACAGGGATGACTAAAAAATTTTCCATGTTTGAACTGATTCTGAGTTGCTAAGCCTCACAAATTTGAAACAGCCACAAAATTGGGGGAAAAAAATTCCACTTCCAAAGATTCACTTGATTTATTGGAGGAACCCAGGCCAGTATTAAATGTACATTTCTAACAAGCAATGAATAAAATGTTAAAATCCGTAAGTGCTTTGTTTCTTACTCTCTCACTATCTCAGTTATCAAAGCTAGTCAGTACCTTTTTTTAAAGCCACAAGTGCTCTGTTTTATAATTAATCAAATCCCAAATAATTTTTTATAAAAAGAAGCAGTAGACAGTGTTACCCTGGTCTTTGGCAGCTGAAGATATGTGTTGTCAATATTCTTGGCTTATGCCTGGTCATGTCTTATCAGAGAAAGAAAATTGCAGAGTGTATGTCATGTGGGAGATTGGAGCTCCTGGAAAGTGTTCGTCCAGATATGAGGTTGAAGGCAAAGTCCCCACCCAAGCCCCATGGCAAGGGTCCAGCATCCTACTCCAATCTCCAATCACTGACATGACTTAACCCCTTCACCCCAAGGTTATTTATCTTTTCACTCCCTTGCAAATGCCTGCCATTTAAATAACACCTCCCAGAGCCTCCCATGGCTACAGGAGGTCAATAAATACCAGTGGCTTACTTCCAGTTTCCTGAGATCACATATCTTGGGAAGGGGAGGAAAAAGCACTGAGTTAGGGATTAGGAGAGTGGAGTCCAAGTTTCAACTTGGCCCTGCCTCCCTGTGTGAGTTTGTTCAAGTCTCTGGGCCCTCAGCTTCCTCATCTGTAACATAAAGAGGTTGGATTAGAGAATGCCCTCAGGTGCTTTCCAGCTCCAACATGACTTTCACCATCAGTCTAATCAGAGGCAGAACGATATACTGGAAAGTGACTCAGGAGGTCAGGAAGACTGGATTCAAGCTGTGCCTCTTGACATATACTAGCTATCAGATCAAATCACTTAATCTCTCAGTTGTCCCAAGCAACTCTTTAAAATGATAAATAGTTCTGTTTTTGTTTTTTTTTCTGTATCTGTGGAGAGTTTCCCCACTGGGAGTTCATTACATCAATGTCTCTGACTTCTCTACTGCAAAATATTCTCTAGCAAACTATTTCCTAGCAAAAACAAAGCATGACATACCATGAAATACATCAGACAGTGGAGTACTCGGGTGGGTGGAAGAGGTGGAAAGAGGGCAGCTGGGTACTGGTCTAGCAACTGGCAACTTGCTAGTTTGTGTGATATTTCCATTAACAACCCTCTGGAAGAGGCTGGCCTTTAGCAGTCTGAAACCTAGCTGGACAGTAGAAGAGGGTGTGTGTGGGTGAGGTGGGAGTGAGAGTGGGAGAAAGGGAATGAAAGAAGGTTAGACACTGGATCATCATGGATAATTTCTTCACAGATAAAACTAACAGATTGTAACACCTGAAAGTGATCGATGAGATCCATTGACCTTCATTTTACAGAAGAGGAAACTAAGGCCCACAGTCCTGAAGTCACATACCCAAAGTCACAAAGGTTTGCCAATAACTGATAGCTGACTTGGGGGAATGTCTCCAAACTAAGCCAAGTTTGAGTATAGACTTTCTATCAATAATTATTGTGAATAAAAAAAAAAAACCTCACATTTATATAGCAATTTGAGATTTTTAAAGGGGTTAAGGTTTACAACCAGAGTTAAGGAGGACCTTATTGGCAAAATACACTCAAGAGTTAAGACAACTATCCATTTAATTCTGGCAAAAAAATTCTGCTTTGTCCCATGCTAATCAAGGATTTGTCTGTCTCTCACTCCACTGAGGTAACTGAGAGGTGGCCTGGGAGTTGAAATGCTGATACCTTGAGAGCAAGAGGTCTGGCTGTGTGTGTGTGTGTGTGTGTGTGTGTGTGTGTGTGTGTGTGTGTGTGTGTGTGTGTGTGTTTAATCTGTCTGTCCTTGGTGCCAGGCATAATGCTTTTTCACAAAGTGGAACCTATAACATATTTGTTGAATCAGATTAAAATAATATATCCTTAGTCCTGTCACTTCTTCATGGCAAAGGATATAACAATCCCACTTGAGCTCCCCTGTTCCCATGGAGATCATCTGACTTGCCACCTGCCTCAAAGACACTGACATCTTCCGAGTTCATATCAGTCTCAAGTTGGAAGGTACAGTATTTTAGAGTACAATCCCATTTCTGGAAGGCCAACACTTCCACTGAAATCCCAATTACAAGACAAGATACAGTACCTTGGAATATTAATACATGTGCAAGAAAAGGCAGGACTGGAAAGAGCTCTGGGTTTTGAGCCATACGACCTAAGTTCAAATTCTCACCTAACACTTCTTAGCTGTATGAATTTGTAGCTGTATGAATTAAGTGACTTAATTTCTGCAATTGTTTTCTCCTCTGTAAAATGAAGGAATTATATTAGGTGATTCCTAAGACCCCTTGAAGCTATAAATCTTATATCTACAAGGATCCTATCCTTTTCTCCTACTCTACTTCCTTCCTGTGTATAACATCATCCCCTCATTGTTGAATATTCTGAATATAGAATTGTTGCTTTCCCTCCTTTAAAGTGACCCCCACCCCACCCTCATCCATCATGGGCATTAATGCATATTCAATAATATCTTTATTATTACTTCTAAGATAAGGAACAATTATCAGATATTACAATGCTATCTCTTCATTTGAAAGTGAGCAGAAATGAAAACTTCTCACAAATTGTCCTTTTTCTGTTGTAAGAACCATCAGCCAGCTAGTTAGCAGAAAGACTTTATGTCTTTTTAGTCTTAGACCTCAGGCTAGAGTCATGGTTTATTATGTACATCATTTCTAATAGTTTGATGAGCTCTAGGGCCTTTAAAAAATAGAGGAAAGGATAAGCATGCCTTCTAAATGTACATTTACATCCCTTCTTAAAAACAATGAGTTTTTCTATTTGAATTTTCCCTTCCCATCCCCACTACTACTCTCTTCTAGCAGTAATACAAATGTATACCACAAAAGGATGGCAAACTCCCACATTAAAGGGACACTGGCAAATAAATGACTGCACAAGACCTGGGTGCCATTTTACCCTCTCTTGTTTTTTTTTTTTTTAAATTGGCCAGATTTTGTGCTTTACATTAAGCCTCACAATACATGTTTTCAAACTTGGCTCTACACACAAAGAATCTGTTACTGACCAGATGTAATGCAGATATCACTTATTATGTGACTATATGTCAAGGCTAGAAGCAAACAAGATAACATCCTAGACTGCTGTAAATAAATATTACTTGGCAACCAGAGCTAAAGACAAAAAAGTAAAGGAGTATTCTGAGACATCGGATTCTTTTTTTTTCTGTACATAGTTCACACTGTACCTCAATTGCAATAAGAAAGAAATAGCTTATAGAAAGGGGTGAGTTCCCATCTTGAGGACAGAATCTGGGGTCAGGTCCTTTCTTGACTCCTGACTGTCTTTTCTATTTTTTTTCCTAAAGGAAAGCTGGAGAAACAAGTGACAAAGACAGCACTCCCTAATTCCACCTAACCCTTCTCCCACCCCAATAAAAATGCACAAACCAAAATAAAACTCCAAGGGCTCAGGAATGGTAATTGTCGTGGTCCATGCACTGAGTGAGTCCTACCCCAAGGAGATATCCTTTAGCAAACTGTGGTTCTGGGGAGAGGAAAGGATTAGCTTGGTGGGGTGCAGGTGTCCTTGAGAACAATACAGAAGCAAGATGACAATGTCCACCTGGAAAGGAGATGATCTTGGAAAGATTGGCCACTCCAGAAGTCCAAGGTTCTTGAGGGATGTTCAAGGAGGAGACAGTTTGGTAGGAAATGATGATGATGACCTCTGGAAGGTGATGGTCTCTGCATGATGATTAGGGACTAAAAGAGGTCTGGCTGACAGGTGGGATCAAGAGGCAGGAATTTGCTCTTTAGAAGGTGGTGGTCTTCGTAAGGGTGCCATGCTTGCCACAGGGTTCTGGGTGTACAGGTTCCTGCTGGCAGGGCAGACTGGGGCACATGCACCCACCCGTTTTGCTCTTGAGGGCTGTAGCATAGTAGTCCAAAGGTTCTTCCTCAGCAGCGGAAGCAGCATCTAGGAGACAACAACGAAGGCAGAGCACCCTCTGGAATGAACGTCGGAAGTTGTCTGAGAGGAAGCCATATAGAATGGGATTTGCACAGCTATTGGCATAGCTGAGGATGAGGGACACATGATTAGCAGTGGCATCCAGGCTGGGCATGAAGAGGTTCAGCAGCTGTACCACATAAAAGGGCATCCAGCAAAGCACAAAGACAGCTACCACCATGAGCACCAGTCTGGTGATCTTCTTCTCTGATCGGCGCCTCTGCTGCCAGCCAGCCCTGAGGGCCACTGCTCGCATCTTGCCCACAATAAGCAGATAACAGAGGCCAATGGCCAGGACAGGAAGGAGGAAGCCCAGGAGAAAGGTGTAGACCACAAAGACAGCAGACCAGGCTGGATGAGGCCAGTGGAGGTTGCAGGCCACAGCCTGGCCACCTCGAGTGGGCTTGGTATCTGCAAAGATGGTAATGGGCAGAGTGACTAGCAAGGAAGCCAGCCATACTCCTCCATTGATGAGCTTGGCCACACTGGGCCTTCGGTAGGTGGCAGCTCTCAGGGGGTGCACCACAGCAATATAGCGGTCTACACTGAGTACTGTCAGGCAGAAGACACTGGTGAACATATTTAGGCCATCAACACTCAACACAGTCCTGCAGAGGGCAGAGCCAAAGGGCCAGTGGCGGAGGGCGGCAGAAGAGGCCACAAAGGGCACGCTGAGCATGAAGAGCTCATCAGCAATGGCCAGATTCAATAAGTAGATATTGGTGGCTGTTTTCATCTTAGCATAGCACAGAATGACGAAGATAACTAAGGCATTACCCACCAGCCCCACCAGGCATACCAGGGCATAGATGGACTGTATAACGATCATTCCAGCCTCACCTCCTGCCCCTCTTCCCTCCTCTTCCTCCCCGCCCAAACTCCCAGGTGGGCGGCTGACATTGGGGGCCCTGGGCCAGTCCGTCCCAAATCCAAGAATTCCTGTGGATACAGCTTCCTCCACCCCGGAGGCCAGCGTCGGGGGGCCGCTCATCCTGGCAGATGGCCCATCAATGGGCAGACTGCGGATGACAGAAGAGAAGAAAAGGAGGAGATAGAGAGAGAGATGCCGCGGGAGTCCCTGCTGTCTGCCAGATGTGAAGCCCTCAGCTGGGCAGTCAGAAAAAGGGGAGGAGGTTGGAAGGGACTGTGGCTGTGCCCGCAGCAGCGGTGGCGAAGGCTCCCGAGGCTGTTGCAGCTGGAACAGATGCGAGCTTCTCCGCAGCCACCGGGTCTGCCTAAATAGCGAGCGGCTGTCACCCACTTAAAGCTGCTTCCAATCCCGAGCCGGCTTGCTTTTGATTTGCTTCACACGTACCCACTGTTGCATGACAATATGCTCTCTCCCTCTGATTCTTCTTTTTCGCTCTCGCCCCCCTCCCTTTCCCTCCTTCCAGATTCCCCTTTCTCCTGCTCCGCTCCCCTCTCCTCCTTCTCCATCTCTCCAGGCTCCAGTAGCTGCCGTCTCACTCTAGCTGTGTTCTTTGTTCCCATCAGAATACACCCGAAGGGAGAAGAATGAAAACACAACATTTTTATTTTATTTTATTTTTTTGCTCCTTCATCATTTTGTCTGCATCAACCCAGCTGAAGTCCTCTGTGTGACAATTGGAGGAGGAGAGGGGCGACAGAAAGAGAAGAATGTTGGGGATGAGATGCAGTTAAGTTCCAGAATGATTTCTCTTCAGGTCTCTGACTTCAGAGGTACATAGGCAGCAGCTAGCCTAGCCGCCTCTCTTAACTCCCTGGAAGGCGCGGACATCTGGGAATTGGAGCTCAGTGCAGAGAGCAGCTAAAGGTCTAGAAGGATGGTGGCATGAAGGGAACAGAGCAGGGAAGAAAAAGCCAAGTAGTCCAAAGCCCCCAAAATCCAACTGCTGCTCTCTCCCAGCTTGCTTAGTTCTCATGGGAGCTGTCCATGGCTCCTAAATCCTAGCAGATTCTAGTTAGGCAGGGATTGCTTCCTCGGATCTCCATCAACCTCTATAGCACCCTAATTCTCTATGGTGGAGGGAGGGTTGGGTGGGGGGCGGCGGCGGGGTGTGAGAAGTAATGGACTTTCCATAAGCTTCTTGCTTTGAAAACAACAGACGCGTCCAAAATCTGGTCCGGACTGGATAGTGAGGTGACGTCTGAGTTGAAAACCAAGACTCAGAAACCCGAAAAGGAGTTAGTTAGGACCTGACTTAAATTTGAGAAATGGGGAACTTTTAATCTCAGAGTGGACCCTCTCTCAGCAAATGGAAGCGGTGGGCAGGGGTATTTCATGCTCTAGGCAGCTGATGAGGAACTGTATTTACGAGTCAGAACTACAAATTGAGTTGCAAGATAACAAGCATTTATTACGTGCTTACTATGCTAAACACTACGCTAAATGCTGAGGATACGAATATAAGCAAAAAGAAAGATAGTCCCTGCACTCAAGGAGCTTATAGTTTAATGAAGGAAGACAACATACAAAAAGAGCTGAAAAGGGTAACTGGGTGGTGATGAAAAGGAGAAAGGCATGGCGTTGACGTCAGAAAGTCAGGACAGACAGGAGGGGAATGGAGGTTGACTTGCTTGTGTCCTTCCCCAAAATGGAGGTCTCAAAAGGAACTTACCAAGGAAAGGCCAGCCTAGTAGAGGAATATTCTCCTGTAAGAATGCCACAGGGAAACTTATATGTTCCAAGGTGAAGAGGTCCTAGGCACTGAAGAAAGTTTCGGGGGTGAAACTGAAGCTGGGGCATCGTGTTGTTATCCTGAAACCTGTAAGCACTGCCAGGAAAAAAAAAATACTAAAAGATTTAAATAGATCCTCAAAAAGGACATGCAGACTCTTGTTGTATTTATAAGATGTGCCTCACTGCTTTTCACTTCATTTTACTTCATCTTTAATATATCAATGGATCTGTGACCTCCAGGATGTGAGTATTCATTCCCATAGTAAAAATTCAGTGCTCTTAAATTTTCTCATCCTATGGGACTTTTATTCATATCCTCTTATAAATCCTTCATGAAATCTACCTGAAATGTCAAGGGCCTTCTCCTAGATGTCTTGGATCTCCCAGATATTTCCTTGATGTGCCTTTTTACCACATACTTTTGGGCTATGATCCTTATTCCCATTTGCATTGGCAAGTCAGGACTCCAGAGAGTGGCTACTATGTCTCCCCTCAGGGTTCTAAGATTCTTTGCAAGTTTTTCTAGTTATACATATTATGAACTTCCATTAGTGTGCTTCCCTTATGTGATTATCAATAACACACACTTTTTGTCCAATTCATCATCTAAATAATTAAGTTTTAGAAAGGGATGTTTACTAAGGTGGTATAGCAAGAATACATGTTATAAAACTCTGCCCTCAAAAAAAGACTCCAAAACACTGCCCACAAATGCATACAGTCTAGAACATGAGTTCTTAACCCTAAGGTCATAAACTTTTTTTTTTGTAAATAACCATTTCAACATAATTTGTTTCCTTTCTATATATTTTGTTTTATACGTTTAAAAACCTTATTCCATAAAGCATCTATTAGCTTCCCCAGACTACCAAATGGTTTGCTATAAAGAAAATTATGAAGAACTTCTGGTCTAGGGGAAAGTAAACTCTATCTTAAATCACACATGGCAAGGAGGTAGCCCACAGCTCCTTACACAGTTGCTGGAAGTTCCTCTCTCTCATTTGTGAAGTACTTAAGATGTTTTCCTTAGTTATGGTCTAGCAGAATGCTTTTAGAGTCTGGAGGCTGTCTTGCTTAAGTACATCTAGTTTATCCTCAGCTCCTGATGTAGACATCTCTATGCCAGAGACTCTGCTAAGATGACCATAGGTCCAAATTCTCTGGCTTTCTGAATTTCTCAAGATCCTTTTTTGAACAAAGGAGGAGGAGCAAAGAGATGAGGCCAAGGTTGAATCTCAAGTTTCTCCCTTTCCTCAGGGGTTTGGCTGGAATGTCTCTCTCTCTCTCTCCCTCCCTCCCTCTCTCTCTCTCTCTCTCTCTCTCTCCCTCTCCCTCTCCCTCTCTCTCTCTCTCTCTTTCTTCTCCATTATCTCTCACTTGAATTTCTGATTCCAAACTTAGAACTGAGGATAGCTAGGTAGGACCAAGTCCCTCAACCAATACCAATGTATTTTGTGTCCCATCTACTTGAAACTCTTTTGGTTCATTTATTCATAGCGGAGGTGTCTAGGCATTGTTCACACCTACTTTGCTTCTCTCTTAATTTATTCAATGCTATATTTCCATTGATATAAGATCTTACCTTACAAAAGTGTCAGGACTAACTGGGATGGGGTGATTGATTGACTCAGTCAGTTCTTATGAGGAAAACATTTTAATTAAATGAATTTTTGTCCAAAAAAAGGAAAAAAAGTCATTAAAATCAAAACTCATTTTAAGCAAATGAGAGAGGGAGGGAGAAGAGAGGAGATGGAGAGAGAGGGAGAGGAGAGGGAGAGAGAGAGAGGGAGAGTTAAAAAATGGTTTAATTAGCTATAGATTGAATGGAAAATAGGCATTCTTAATCTACTTAGTTTTTTCTAAGTATATTGTTGAATCAAATTCTAGGGGATCACAAATCTTTTTTTAAAGAAGCTCTTCAATGTTCTGGAGATTGATAAGCATGTCATCTGCAGACAAATATTTGCATCTGATGGACCTTGCCATTGATAGGAAGCCCATCTTCCATTTAAACTCTTCACTGGTCATCCTACATGGCAGCAGCAATAAATTTTGGCAAAAATGTGTCTCCTTATTATTTTATGCCTTGTATGGTGTTAATAATCAGAGGATTATCCAAGTTATCTGTTACTTTACCTATTAATAATTCCTATCTGACAATAATATAGTATAGGAAATAAATTGTTGAAGTCAGATTTTAATGCATTTTGCTCTACCAAATAAATAGTGGAATTAAAGAGACTTTCCAGCTTTGGGTCAGTTGTTTTACTGTAAATATGTTATCTAGTATAAAATATCATTTGCAAAAGCCTGCCTACATTTTTGCCAAGGATACCTTTGGTTCACTTGCTGATTATAATAATAATAATAACTACCACTTGTATAGTGCTTTAAAGTTTATAAAACACTATACAAATGTTACTTCATTTTATCCTTATCACCAATCTGGAAAAGTAGATGCTATTAATAACCCCATTTCATAGATGAGGAAACTGAGGCAAACAGAGATTATGGGATTTGCCCAGGGTCACACAGCTAATAAGTGTATGAGGGCACAGCTGAACTCAGGACTTCCTGATTCCAGGCCTCCTACAACTTTACCTTACTTACTAATCTTTGTGAGATTATTTTCATAAAAATCATATACAAATGAATAAGGTTGACTGAAATACTCTCTCTCCTCATCTCTGCCTCCTGGCTTTTTTCAATTCCTAGCTAAAATCATCTCTTCTACAAGAATCCTTTCCTGATCTCCCTGTTATAGCCTTCCTGTTATTGATTATTTCTAATTATCCTGAATATAGTTTGTATATAGTTATTTTGATCTTGTCTTTCCCATTAGATTGTGAGCTCCTTCAGAGCAGAGATTGTCCCTTGCCTTTCTTTGTATCCCTAGTGCTTAGCATAGTACCTGGCACATAGTAGGTGCTTAATAAAGATTTATTGTTTGATTGATACAGGTGCATAATTACTGATGCACTCTAAAACATTTTTGGGAGAGGTAATAATTATACCACCTGTTAATTTAAAAAAAAATGTTTGATAACCACTCTTTTTTCCCACATCATGAGAAGTGACTCCCCCTCCCCCATATCCTCAAAACTGGGATGCCAACATAGTTCTCTATGTGTCTTTTGTCTTCTTAGGATGCTATTTCTGTCTTCATTTTCTTTAGGGCCATTTCTAATTCCTTAAACAGCACATTAGGGACTGAGATGTTAAAGTCCAAATTCAGTCATTTTACTGTTGATGATGAAATTAGTTATGGAAGTGTTGACAGGTCTTTTCTGATATTTTATCTGTTTGTTATTCTCTTTCTAATTTCATCT